ATGGTTTGTATACATAAATTTTTTTCTTCTTTATATAACATTTTGTCAATAGTTAGGTAAGATCTGAGGAGAAAAAAATAGTGAAGAAACCTTGAACTCGGGTGAGGAGGGTCACAAGAGTGCTTGAATTTCACTGTACTACTGCCCTCCTCTTATGCTTTATATGATTGGTGCCTTGTTTTTGCGTGCGGGCCTCACCACTTTAAGATTGGTCATCTTCCACCGTACCAAAAAGGCTTCCACGAAATGAACTTTGTAGAAAGCGATAGCAAATAAACCCTAGACGACCGAGGTGTGTATCAGGACTCGTACGTGTCAAGCCATGCATACATGCAAGCACCAATTGTGAAGCCCAACACTGCACATGATCGTATTTTTACTGGATTTTTATTAGACACATCGAGAAGAAGGCAACATTAAAATTTAATAAATAGCAACAGTGCATCGAATGATTGGGGTTTTTTCTTCCACAGTAAAGGTACCAACTGATGTTTAAGTTTTTGAAAAATAAAGCTCATAGTAATTGGTTGATAAAATTTGGTGAAGAGGACGCCAACATATAGAGTCATATGGCACAAAGTCCATTACCTAGCTAGGCATTAGGGTAAGGGACGTAGGTTTAGGCAATTATATGGACATATAGAGTACTATTCGCACTTTGTTCCCTACTCATAAGTACTTAATGAGCTCATTTATACATATGATTGGATTAAAATGGAGAATTCTCAAACTTTAAGGTATATTGAAAATAGAAGTGAATAGTTTTTCATATAAAAGGGTTACTTCTAATGCTACCATTCTCAAAGGGATATGAAAATTAGATATAAAGATTAGATATTAGCACAACTAAATAGCCAAAATGGTCCCTGAGATTTGCATAATCAATAAAAATGGTACTTGAGATTAAAAATCAATAGAAATGGTCCCTGAAATTGTCCATCATTCATGATTTTGCTCATTCCGTTAAAAACTCTTTGGGGAATTTTCAAAGCTTTGTAACACAATCATTTCTTAACCAAATTCGACCCATAATATATCAAAATGAAGATAGGACAGTGTACAACAAGATTATACCTATTTTGAAGCCTAATGGTAGCCAGAGATGGTTGGAAAATAGCTTGAAAGGTGACTGGTCTACAGGAAAACTGGAAAACTTGCCAGAAACTGGGTAAATTTTAAACGTTCATAACTTCTTCAATACTCACCAAAATCGAGTAATTAAAAAACGAAAATCGTCCTTCTCGACGAGACAAAGATATAGGTACCTTTCTTGATGGCTAACTTGCCGTGGTTTGGCCGGAAAACGGCTCGAAAGTGGCTAACCATTTTCGAGTTAGCCACTTTCGAGCCATTTTTCGGTCAAACCACGTCGATTTAGCTGTCGATAAAGGTACCATTCTCTTCGTCTCGTCAATATGTATGATTTTCATTTTTGAATCACTCGATTTTGTTTAGTATTGAAGAAGTTATGAACGTTTAAAGTTTACCTAGTTTCCACTGAGTTTTCCAGTTTTCCTGCTGACCAGTCACCTTTCAAGCTATTTTATGGCCATCTCCGGCAACCATTAGGCTTCCAAATAGGTATAATCTTGTTCTACACTTTCCTATCTTCATTTTGATATATCATGGGTCGAATTTGGTTAAGAAACGATTGAGTTACGAAGCTTTGAAAATTGCCCAAAGAGTTTTTAACGGAAGAACCATAATCATGGATGGTGGACAATCTCATGGAGCATTTCTATTGATTTTCAATCTCCATGACTATTTCTATTGATTATCTAAATTTCAGAGACCATTTTGGCTATTTAGCCATTTCTTTAATATATTGAAGAACCAACTTCTGCTGGGAAATAATTTAGAACATGATGTGTGCTTTTGTTTCTTTAGTTGAGAAACAAAAATGAATCCTTTAACACTAAACATTTGAAGAGAAATTTTCTTATTAGAGAAAAGATCAATGATAGCTTCTTTTCAATTTTTACTTAGCCTAACATTTTCAATTCTCATTTTGCAATATAAATTTGTGTTATGAACCGTTTGATTTTAGGTTAGCTTTACAATTTTATATGTGATAACCATCAGTTTGTTTGATTTTTTTAGTTTGATTTTTTTAAAACGTAACTGTTATTGGCACTCAAAAAAATTTCATTTACACTTCTCACAAATATATTTTCTTTCTAAATATAAAAAGTTTGGAGTATATAATCAGATTTTTTTAGTGCTAATAATAATTTCCTTTTTATTTGGACTTGGTAAATGGACGACTTTGATCATGAAATTACCTTGCGAGATGAGAATAGAAAAATATATCTTAAGACTGACAATTCTCAGTATACCAAAAGGCTTTTCACTATTACCTCTAACTCTGGTCATGATGAAAAGGACAACTTTGATCATGAGCTTATGTATAGTTGCACTCAACCTAACTCTTTTTGCACACAAACACCTAATGCTGTGTAGTATATTCATTTAACAACAATAAATCTTAAGATATACTTCTAAAATCAATTTTCTTATATTAAATAATAACTTCCCATATATCGATACCTAATTCATTTGGCTTTTGATTACATAACCAAAATTGGCTTCCATTGAATTAGGACGAGAAAATTCGATCATGCAAGATTTTTCTTTATTTATCCAAAAGGTTTTTCGATTTCCCTTTATTTTCAAGATATGTAGCTAGATTTCTTAAAGCAAACTGACCAATTTAATTAAATCTAATTAAGTACAGATATCTAATTCCAAAATCCCAAAATGTTGGTGTGATTTAGGTGCAACTCCTAATTAAATTAGTAACTCTCAAGTCAATTCCTTCTCTCTGCCAAAGGAAAAGCCTTCGTTTTCATGTAGATGGACTGATGGAGGGAGCTTAATTAAACATTACTGAATATATGACTTTAGCCCTTGATATTTAATTTTCTTCACATAAAACCCGTCATAAGTTTTTTACTCAAATAAAACCCATTAACTAGATTCCACATAAACAAATTCATTAATTATATTTGACTTTACACATTTAAAAATTTTCAATGCCCAAAACACTCCTATTTAAATGTTTGATGTACACAAGTAGTTCCATATAGATTGTAAGAGAGAATTAATGATTTTACGAAAATAATAAATAATAAATTTATTGCCTAATATATAATAACAACAAAACATGCCTAATATATGTAATAATACATGCTTAGTTAAGTCAACAAATTATATTTTTAAATATAAAGGTAGGAAAATTATTTCACACACATGTATATAACAAAAAAAAAAAAAAACGCCTGGCATACGTAATAATTTACCTACATAATAAAGCAAACCCAATGTATGCAAAATAATGTACCTACATAAAAAAATATTATTATTTTATTCAATACTATTTTACCTATTCTTTTGTACACATAAATTTACATATATATATATAGATTAATTAGTGTAATATGTTTGATCATATATGTAGTACTGTGCATATACATATATATATATATATATTTGAACGTATAGTAGCACAATATATATAGGTAAACTATATATATATATATATATATATTGAGCTTATGGTAGTACTATATACATTTGAACGTATATATATGTGTGTGTGTGTGTGTGTGTTAGGGGTAATAATATGCAATAAATTATTTATTCATTGTAATTAAGGTGAGTAATAATATTTATTGATTTATTTTGAATATCGTGGTACAAGTTGTAAATATTTTCTATTAATAGGTCAATTACTTTCCTACATGGCAATCACTTTTAAATTTAGGTTTTATTTAGACGTTTATGATTAGATGAGTTTTTATATAAGAAATTAGAGTTGCAAAGGTCTATATGTAAAGAACCCTAAACATTAATTAAATTTAGTTTCATGGTGCTTTCAAATGCTCATAGTCATACGACTCACAATCCTTCTTGCTGCCACCTGGCAAAGCAGTCATACGCATTTGTTGCTCAAATTTTTTATTTTATTTCACCAATACACATTCACAAGTGGACAATTGCTCGTGAACAAGAATAAGCAGTAACCACCAGCTCCATTTGAAGATGATTTTGCCACTTGGCTCATAGTCAGCCATTGATATCTGTGTAAACCATCAAGATCTTTAACGTGGTAGCTGCTGGTGCCTTTGATAATGGTAGAATTTTTGTCTATGAAATCATGCGTGTTAGAGAGAGATTCAAACTTTTGACAAGCGTTACTCTCAAAATTTAATGTGTTGTTTAACTGCTTTCGTGCACCCTAACCATGGAAAACTTTCAAAACCCAAAAACAACCAGGTTTAATTTGCAAGAAAAACTAGATAGCTAGGTTTGCTTAATTAATTAAAGTATGCACCAATTCAGCCAAATTATACTCAAAGTACCGTTGTCCTTTGTTGATTTTTTTAGAGGCTCATGTCTTTTTATGGAGAATGACTTACATGAAATAAGTTCGCTATTAATTAACATCATAGTTTAATAATGCAATGTTATATATAAGTTTCTTCTATATAACAATGTATTATATCAACGAAATATCATAATAACTCTAAATATATTTCATGTATAAGTTATTCTCATTTTCGTGGCCACGTAATAAAATTTCCATATAAGAAGAGGTCTATTTATTATAACGATATGAGCTAAGGTGCCTTACTGATATAGCATCTTTAAAAGTACTACAGTCTAATGATATTCCTCTTCATTTATAAGTGAAAGGTCTTAAGTTTGATTCTTGCCAAATGCGAATTTGAACCACATTCTTGCTAGGTCATTATGAGGCTTAACCCACTCTCCTACCCCTTTAGTATAGATAATATTGTTTGTTAAAAAAAAAAAAAAAAATCTATTATGGATTATTAGTCCAGTTTCCTTACTAGAGCAGCTAACTTGGCCTCCTTTTTTAATTATTAATTTATTTGTTTTATTTTATTAATTTCTATTGGATATTATTCTCTATGAGCCATCTGTTTGGTATAAAACCAAAGAATAGAAGCTAGCAAGAGTGCATTCCAATACCGGTGTCCTCCTCTTCCTAGTCGCTCATTCACCTTTTCTATTGCTTCTATAGCTTGTTCTTTCCTTTCATGCACTTATTGGAAAAGAATAAATTAAAAATTTTCTAGTAGTATATATAGTACTCTTTCTTATCAACACCCATCTCTTGCTTTTCTCTGGTAAGTTAGCTCTTGAATCCTTACATCTTCAAGTCTTCTTAATTCCTTTTTTTAAGTTATAAAGGAGGATTTCAAACTCAGGATCTTTAGCTATATATAAATATTTTCATCCGTACGTAGCTCGCTAGTACACACACACACACACACACACACACACACACATATATATATATATATATAAGCTTGTCCAAGACCAACGAGAAACCATTCTAGCTAGCTAGCCGGAGCGTTTGGAACAATAAGCTGAAAAATGGGAATTCAAGGAACTTTGGAGTACTTATCAGATGTACTAAGTAGTGCCAAAAAAGGCAAGAAGAAGCAAATGCAAACGGTAGCCGTCAAAATCAGGATGGACTGTGAAGGTTGTGCCCGCAAGGTCAAGAATGTCCTCTCCGGCGTAAAAGGTGCGCTTAATTAATTCATTTCCATATATTTTTTTGGAATGTTCGCTTATTAGACTGTGAATCTAAAACTTTAGTTTGGAATGTTCACTTATTCACAATAGGCTATCGTATGTATGCCTTAGTGATTTAAATAAATTCGAGCCTCTCCCTCCTATTCACAATTAGTTTTAGTGTGGAAACTAAACTTCCTCTGGTTTTGGTGTGAATTAATTCACTATGATGATTGTTTGCAGGTGCTAAATCTGTGGACGTCGACTTGAAGCAGCAGAAGGCAACTGTAACTGGATATAATGTTGAGGCAAAGAAAGTGTTGAAGGCAGCTCAGTCAACAAAGAAGAAGTGTGAGTTGTGGCCTTATGTTCCGTACAATCTGGTGGCTCATCCTTACATTTCTCAGGCATATGACAAGAAGGCACCTCCTAATATGGTCAGGAAAGTTGCCGACACTTCAAACATCACTGAGACTGCCGTGGACGACCGCTACATAGTCATGTTCAGCGATGACAATCCTAATGCCTGCTCTGTTATGTAGCTAGATTATTAATATATCTAAAATAATCATGTTAAAAATATTAAAGGTACAAGTCAGCAATACAGTTAGAAATATAGTTAGCAATACAGTTAGCAAGTTTGTTAGTATTTGGTTAGAGTTGTTAGGCTCACTAGTATAAAAACAAAGTGTGTAATCTTTATTTAGTTAGTCAATACAAATCATATTTCTCTCTTTAAACTCTCTCTCAAAGATCTCTGTGTTCATCCTTCTGTTCATCGTTTCTTCTTGATTTTCTCTTCAATTCCTAAACATTTCAATGTAGTTAACATGGTATCAAAGCCACTAGGCCCACGCCATGGATTTTGGTGGTTCCACTTCCCATTATTTTTCATTTGTTTTTAGCTTAATTTCTTTCCAAATTTTCATTAGATGTTATGATACGTTTCTGGGTGCTTCCGCGATCGTTCTTTTATTTCTGGGCTGATTTCTTTCTGATCAAATTCATGAGTCTCTCCGTTCCCGATCGAAAGCAAGAGATCGAAAGTTGGAGAAAATTTCAGAGCAAAAATGGAGGCGGAGCAAATGCAAAGAGTTGCATCTCCATCGTCGCAATCGGTTAAGGCATCGAAGACGAACATAATTCAGGTCTCCAACGCCAAGAAACCACTCTTCTTCTATGTCAATCTTGCTAAGAGGTACATAAAGTAGTACAATGAGGTTGAGCTCTCTTCACTGGGGATGGTAATCACCACGATTATCACTATTTCAAAAGATTTACTTAAAGATATGAATCTTTCTCTATTTTTGGGTTTGATTTTCTGTGACTCTTGGAATGTTTAGAGAAATGGAAATTGGTGAAAGTTCTTGCCTGGAATCGGAGATATTTCTAGAAGTGGGTGTTTCACCTTCTAACGAATCTACCCACGCTAGGAGTTATTCATATTAGTCTTCGAAAGGATCATCTGATTTTTTTGGGTAGCCAACCCACCAACCTAGCAGTCTACTTCCTCTGTATCTACACAATCTCAAAGCATCATGTTTTGCAGCTTCCATGAAATCTTCCTTCTCAATTGCATCTTCAAGTTGAAACTTGAGCATAGAGGCGAAGCTCTCAGCTTGTTCAACTTCGGAGAAATGGCAGCTCCATCGATTCCAATCTCATTCCAACGACGACCCGAATCGTTCACTAACATTTGATCTTCATCGGAATTGGGGTTTTCCTCAGAATCTTGTGCTGCTTCACCAGAATCTTGTGATTCTTGTTTGCTGGAATCTGGAATTTGTGTCTTCTTCCTCCCTAATGGGTTCTTGTCTATCATGTGTTCAATCTTATGCGTCAATGAAATTTCAGTAAAGTGATATATTTGGCAGGATGCGATGGTATCTTGGGTGGTCTACCTTTAGTGGATAATCTTGAGGAAGAGTGCATCAATCTTTTCTTCCTCATTGAAGCAAGCTTTTTCTCACGGGCAGCTTCCTGGAGGATCTTTTTTCCATTGACATATGCAATTGCATGTTGATGGCCACTTTCATTGGCAAGATCAAGATTTGCAGATTTTGGTATGGTTCTCTGCTTCTACCTTCCATAATGTTTCACTGAACCTGCACTAGATTTAGGTATGGTTCTTGAAGTTCTTGGAGTTTAGTTGTTGTTCTAGGATTGGTGATCTTGCTATAATCTTTTCTAGTGGCGCTGTTGGAATTAGGTCATTACATTTCTTTGTTTCCTTAATTCTGCACATAAGGTGTTTGTGTTTTTGGGTCAATGAAATTTTATGCAGTGTTGGTGTGAATTCGATATGATATATTTTAGGGTTTTGAGTATATGATTAAGGCTGATTGCAAGAAATGTTGGTAGTTGAAGAAATTTATGAAGTTGCTTGTTCAGAGAGTTGTCAATTGTTGAAGTTTATGAGTTTTATGAATTGAGAATTGATAAGGCCGATGCCAAGAATGTGTGAGTATATAGTATTCATTGAAGTTGATAATTGAAGAAGGTCGAAGTCAGAAAGTTAGTGAATTTGTTACGTATATTAAGTAGCATTTGTTGAATTTGTAGAGTTGTTGAAACTATTGAGTTGTTTTCTTTGAGAATTCGTGAAAGTTAGGAATACATTGTTGTTTCTTGAAAGTGTTTAGTCATCAATATGTCTGATAAATCAGTGAGAATTGAGAATTTGCTAGGAATGCTATCTTCCTTCGTTCTCTTAAATTCATGAAAGATTTAGTGACTGAATGTGTCTGTGTTACTCAATTAATTTGTTGCACGAAGTCAATTTTCTTGTGAGTTTTTCTGGCTTTTTCAAGTTGTGTCTGATATTTGGGTTAGAGATTGTTGCTCCAGATTGTTACTAAAATTCTGCTCAATCTCTTTATTGGGTTTAATGGTTATGCAAATATTGATATGTTTGGAGAAATGGGTATGGATTCTTGGGTTTAATTGCTACTAATATCTTTAGGGTGTTCATTGTTGAATTACTCATAAAATTTTGCAGTATCCAATTTTGTATCTCTGCTCACTGATTTTTTACAATTCTGTTAAGGAGTTAGTGCAGTAATTTTCTCTTATCTCAGCCTATAATGTTGAGTCTAACTAGCTCATTTGTTAGCATGTATCTATTGTAAGTCCGGTTATACAATGAAGTTTGAAGAAGTTGTTAACAGTAAATCCCACAAAGGATAATTCTGTGATGTGAATAGGTAAATCCCATGAAGGGTAGAAGAAGTTGTTAACGGTAAAACCCACAAAGGGTAATTCCGTGATGTAAGTAAGTAAATCCCACGAAGGGTAATCCTACATAGATGTTGATTTTTTGTTGTTGAAATTGTGAAGGCCGATGCCATTGTTAAGAGTAGTTGTTTTTGGGTGAAATTCACAAAGGGCAATCTCGTGGTACTATAGCTAAGGCTGATGCCACACTGTAGTTTGTTAATTTTCTGTTTTAAAGGCCAAAGCTAATGTTAAATGATGTTGTTGACGGTATATCCCATGAAGGGTAATCCTACAAGAAATTATGATAATCGGCATGAGGGTGTGTTACAACTTTACAAGAGGTTGTTCTTTGATTGAAGCTCCTACGAAAGGCAGAGGAATGTTGGACTTTTGGATGTGTGTAGCATAGTTCATGAAAAGGTCGAAAAGATTGAGGTACAAGATTACTAATTCAAGTTGTTCTTTTTCTAGTGTTAATGAATCTAAGCATGTCACTGAATTTGGGGAAGAAGTAGTAGAAAGGGCAATTTGTTTGATGATCATATCTGGTTGTGGAAGCAATTGGGGTCGAATTAGTTCTAACACTAAGTCTTTGAATAATAATTCCTTGTCTTTAGAGGTTCAATCACCAGGCTTAAAGAATTGGATCATGGGAAATAAGGGTGGTGTTTCTGTTTGTGGTGATACTGTGAAATTGGTTGATTGCATTTCAGTTTGTAAGAATGTCTTTGTTGAGAAGAAAGTTTTTGAATTTAGCAAAAATAATTTTAGGTTTGATAATGATGAGGAAAATAGTGTCGACATGGAAGATAGGTTCTTCAAGGGTGTTGCCAAGCTTGAATGCAGTGATAATTCAGCAGGAGAAGAGAAGACAAAAAGAGTTATTGAGAATATGGGTCACAAGTGCTCCATCTACTTGAAGGTGTTCGCAATAGGCCAAGCGTTGGGTGGCCACAAGAGAGTTCATTTCGGCAAAGACCCCAAGATAGGTACAGAAGAGTCCAGAGTGTTGAAGCAGCAGTTTTTTCTAACATTTGTGATGCATTTGTTCAACTCTATGTGCAGTTTTCTGGTTTCATAGTAGTGATTACAGATGTTCTTCCGATTTCAAACTGGGTTTCCCTAGTTAAGATTGAGGGGGAGTATTAAGGGTACAAGTCAACAATACAGTTAGAAATATAGTTAGCAATACAGTTAGCAAGTTTGCTAGTATTTGGTTAGAGTTGTCACTACCACAAAAAACACTTTGCGCGACGAAAAATTTCAAATTTTTTAATTTTTGTGTTTTAAAATTTTTTAATTAAAATAAATTAATTTAATATTTTGAGCAATGAAATATTTTGTCATGCAAGGTTTTTGACTTATTGTTTTATGATTTCTCTTATATTAATTTAATTATATTAATTTTTTCGAATTTTTACTTTTTAATTTTAATTTAATTGTATGATTTTATTTTTTTAATTACTTTAATTTAAATTGGCATATTCAAAATAAAATTACATATGAAAAATAGTGATCAAATTATCCAATATATATAATATATTCAAAATGTACACATAAATTAACAAAGTACAATAATAAAATCATAATACAAGTCTATTGTGGTGGTAGTGGTGGAGGATATGTTTCGATAGCATCCTAATCCTTAACCATCAAAGTCTCGACGATTCCCTACAAAAAAACAAATATGGTCAAATAACAAAAAAATAACATAAAATAATAACAAAAATTTGGCATAATCTCCCCTAAAATTGGTATACCCCAAACTCCAATCCTCACCCTATACTCAACCCCCAACCCCGCACAAAGTTAAAACTAACTCCAAAAACACATATTAATGAAAAAAAATTTAAAATTTGCGGAGAATATACATTTTGGCAAGATTGAATGAGAGGGAGGAGTGAGTGTGAGAGAATTAGAGGAGATAATGAGAGAGAGATGAGAGAGTGAGTGAGAGTGAGAGTGTGACATCCCACAACGCCCAGGGGAGTGATCCTTATATGTATATTCCCATCCATACTTAGCACGATGCCTTTTGGGAGCTCACTGGCTTCGGGTTCCATGGGAACTCCGAAGTTAAGCGAGTAGCGCGCGAGAGCATTCCCAGGATGGGTGACCCATCGGGAAGTTCTCGTGTGAGTTCCCAAAAACAAAACCGTGAGGGCGTGGTCGGGGCCCAAAGCGGACAATATCGTGCTATGGTGGTGGATCGGGCCCGGGAAGTGGTCCTGCCCGGGCCGGGATGTGACAGAGAGATGGTGAAGAGAGTGATGAGAAAGTGAGTGAGAGTGGCACATAGTGAAGAGAGAGATGATAGATTAAGTTAGAGGAGTGAGTGTGAGAGAGAGGGTTAGATTTGGGGAGAGGGAAAGAGAGATGAGAGGTAAAAGTAGAGAAAGCCATTGAGAAAATGGTTGAGGAGTTATTTTGGTTTCAAAAACCGTATCACTTTGCGCGACGAAGGATACGAGTTTGTGCGAAATATTGGTCGCGCAAAGTCTTAAAAAAATTAAAAAAAAATTCCCGCGTCCCATTTTTTGTGCCTGCCCAAATTTTTAGAGTTTTGCTTGACGAAAAATTGGTCGCGCAAAGTCTTAAAAAAATAAAAAATTCCCACATCCCATTTTTGGCTCCCGTCCAAATTTAAGGATTTTGCGCGATGAAATATTGGTTCCGCAGAGTGTTAAAATTTTTTTTTAAAAAAATTCAAAAATTTCCTGTGTCCATTGTTGGTGCCCCCCAAAATTTTTAGAGTTTTGCGCGACGAAGTGTTGGTCACGTAAAGTTTTGCGCGACAAAATATAGGTTCGTCGCGCAATATTTGTAAAAATAATTGTTATGAATAATAAAAAATAAAATAATTTTATTTTACAATTTAAAATATAAATAAATTAAAATAAATAGGGTTTAGGCGACCAAATGTGTTTTCATCATGCAAAGAAAATAACAAAAAATAAAGAAATAATTTAGTTTAACAATATAAAATATAAAAATAAGTAAATAAGGGTTAGGCGACAAAATATTGATATTCGTTGAGCAAAATTTTTGAAGAATAATAAAAACTTATGAAAACAACTATATCTTAAAATTTATAATGCAAAATTAAATAAAAAAATAAATTGGTTTGCCCGACACATGTTTACATTATGACGTTGCGCTATTGGTTTTTGTGCAACGACCCCATTGTGGCATCGCACAAGTCATATTTTTCTTTAAAAAAAAATTATTATAAAGTTTACTGAAAATTTGACTTTACTCCCTTCAAATTCTTTTTTTTTTTTTTTTTTTTTTTTTTTTTTTACATAAAACCCACAATAATATATTTTTTTTAACACCCAATCCTAACTACAATAATAAATTTAAAGCTACTAATATATATATATATATATATATATATATATATATATATATATATATATATACCATTCAATTTCTTAAGTGTTATACGTACAAAATAAATAAATTTAAAGCTACTTAATAAATACACACACACACACACACACCATTTAACGATCCAACCGTCAAACTTGTTTGTATATACTTTGAGATCGTATACCCCAAAAATTGCAAAACAACACATTCAGAAATCAAGTAACTGAACAAAACTTTTCGATGGTTATAAATAAAAAATCACGATTTAACGGTTATTTTAACTCCGATTTTGATGATTTTTTACAGCTACACTCCTTGATCCTATATGAATATAATGAATGAAAATAAACTCAAAGTGTTAGTGAATCTATTGTTTTGATGGGATACACATTCTACAAAACTAGTTTCAATGATCCAACCGTCAAACTTGTTTGTATATACTTCGAGATCATATAGCCCAAAAATCGCAAAAAACAAACATTCAGAAATCTAGTAACGGGACAAAACTTTTCAACGGTTATAAATGAGAAATCACGATTTCACGGTTATTTTAACTCCGATTTTGATGATCTTTTACAGCTACACTCCCTGACCCTATATGAATACAATAATTGAATTTGATCTTCAATTTAAAATATTTACACTAGTCTTATGTTATATGTAATGAAAGTATAAATAAACTCTTAATTGTTAGTGAATATATTGTTTCGATGGGATACGCATTCTATGAAAGTAGTTTCAACGATCCAACCGTTGTATATATTTCGAGATCATATGCGCCAAACATCGGAAAAAACAAACATTCAGATATCAAGTAATGGGACAAAACTTTTCAATGGTTATAAACAAAAAATCACGATTTAACGGTTATTTCAACTTTGATTTTGATGAGTTTTTGCAGCTACAATCCTTGACCCTATATGAATACAATGAACAAATTCGATTATCAATTTAAAATATATATTTTCTAACAAAAATTCAATCCGAACTACAATAATATATTTTTCTAAAAAAAATCTAATCCTAACTAAAATAATAAATTTAAAGCTACTTAATAAATATATATACTGTTCAATTTCTTAAGTGTTATACGTACAAAATAAAAAACGAAAAAAAATTGGTTTAGGCGACGAAATATTTGGATTACGTCACGCAAAGATTTTAAAAAATAAAATTTTTATTTTATTTATTTTTGTAAAGACTTTGCACAACGAAGTGTGTTTCATCGCGCAAGACTTTGCGCGATGATATTGTTTGTTGTTCAAAGTGACTTCATGCGATGATGTGTGTTTCGTTGCGCAAGACTCTGCGCGACGAAGTTTTGAATTTCATCGCACAAGGGATTTTTTTTACTAGTGTGTTAGGCTTACTAGTATAAAAACAAAGTGTGTAATCTTCATTTAATTCAGTCAATACAAATCATATTTATCTCTCTAAACTCTTATCTCAAAGATCTCTATGTTCATCTTTCTGTTCATCGTTTCTTCTTGATTTTCTCTTCAATTCCAAACATTTCAATGTAGTTAACAAAAAAATGGATTAATTAACAAAATTGTGTTTTATGTGAGGCTGACATGCGTTTTGTTCATGGGTTTTGGTTAGAAGTTTGAACTGTCATATTTGCGTGGAGTTTTTGTGATTACAAGAGAAATATTAACCAATATTTTTTTACACCTCTAGCAATATTTTCAGAGATTAGGCCAAAGCTGAATACGTGGTTCATATGAAGATATAAGAATGTTAAAACCCTTTTTAGTTACGTGCCCCAGCAATAGATTAATTAATGAATTAATGCAGAAATGTAGGTGGGTTTTAGTCATAGAGTTTGAGTTTTATCTATGGTTTATCTGTGACATCCCACATCGCCCAGGGATGATCCTTATATGTATATTCCTATCTCTACCTAGCACGAGGCCTTTTGGGAGCTCACTGGCTTTGGGTTCCATGGGAACTCCGAAGTTAAGCGAGTAGCGTGCGAGAGCATTCCCAGGATGGGTGACCCATCGAGAAGTTCTCGTGTGAGTTCCCAAAAACAAAACCGTGAGGGCGTGGTTAGGGCCCAAAGCGGACAATATCGTGCTACGATGGTGGAGCGGGCCCGGGTTGTGGTGGGGGCCCAGGCCGGAATGTGACAATTTGGTATCAGAGCCTAACCCTGGCCGCGTGTGTGCCGACGAGGACATCGGGCCCCTAAGGGGGGTGGATTGTGACATCCCACATCGCCCAGCGCGCGAGAGCATTCCCATGATGGGTGACCCATCGGGAAGTTCTCGTGTGAGTTCCCAAAAAAAAAATCGTGAGGGCATGGTTGGGGCCCAAAGCGGACAATATCGTGCTACGGTGGTGGAGCGGGCCCGGGAAGTGGTTCCGCCCCAGGCCGGGATGTGACATTTGGTATCAGAGCCTAACCCTGGCCGCGTGTGTGCCGACGAGGACGTCGGGCCCCTAAGGGGGGTGGATTGTGACATCCCACATCGCCCAGGGGTGATCCTTATATGTATATTCCCATCTCTACCTAGCACGAGGCCTTTTGGGAGCTCACTGGCTTCGGGTTCCATGGGAACTCCGAAGTTAAGCGAGTAGCGCGCGAGAGCATTCCCAGGATGGGTGACCCATCGGGAAGTTCTCGTGTGAGTTCCCAAAAACAAAACCGTGAGGGCGTGGTTGGGGCCCAAAGCGGACAATATCGTGCTACGGTGGTGGAGCGGGCCCGGGAAGTGGTTCCGCCCCGGGCCGAGATGTGACATTATCCAAAAGCAAATTTGAGAATTTTTTAATCTCAAATGACGTGATAATGTTTTATGGGACAATTTGGATGTGGTCCCTAACTACCAATATTTTTTTATTCAAACCTTCGTGGTTTTTTGTTTTTTTATTGAAGTCCCTAACATTAATGTAATAATGTATTTCTATGTAGGCTATTATATTTTTAAATTAAAAATGAAATTTGTAATTGTTTATATTAATGAGATTATAAATAAAACTCATAATTTATGGGAATAAAAATATTAAAAATAAATTATACTCTTCAATATATTATATATATATATATACACACACATATGGGTATGTTCATCAAAACTAACCAAAAACTTATTGTACCAAAACATATGTACATTTTTCAAACACACAAAAAAAAAAAAAAAAAGATATTAGGCTTAATAACATTATTAAATTTCTTCTATTAAGCTTGACATGATACATTTTCTAATAAATAGAATGTACCCATATAAGTATAAAAAATGGATTAGAGAAAAATTGAATGGATTTTATATAAAAAATGGGTACATTTTATATTAAAAAAAAAGTACATTTTTCATATAACAAATTGGTATATTTAAGAATGGGTACATGTAACATCCCACATCGCCCAGGGGAATGGATCATGTAAGCCTTATATGTATATTCCCATCTCTACCTAGCATAAGGTTTTTTGGGAACTGACTGGCTTCGGATTTCATCGGAACTCCAAAGTTAAGCGAGTTCGCGCGAGAGCAATCCCATGATGGGTGACCCACTGGGAAGTTCTCGTGTGAGTTCCCAGAAAAAAAACTGTGAGGGCGTGGTCAGGGCCCAAAGCGGACAATATCGTGCTACGGTGGAGTCGAGCCCGGGCTGGGATGTGACAATTTGGTATCAGAGCCAATCCTTGGCCGAATGTGTGCTGACGAGGATGTCGGGCTCCTTAAGGGGGTGAATTCTAACATCCCACATCGCCTAGGGGAATAGATAATGTAAGCCTTATATGTATATTATCATCTCTACCTAGCACGAGGCCTTTTGGGAATTCACTAGCTTCGGATTCCATCAGAACTCTGAAGTTAAGCGAGTTCGTGTGAGAGCAATCCCATGATGGGTGACCCACTGAGAAGTTCTCGTGTGAGTTCCCAGAAACAAAACCATGAGGGCTTGGTTGGGGCCCAAAGCGGACAATATCGTGTTACAGTAGAATCGAGCCAGGGATGTGGTGGGGGCCCGAGCCGGGATATGATAGTACATATAATTTTAAAAAATTGAAATTTTTTTATAAAAATTTAATGGGTACAAACTTATTCTAATTATATTATATATATTTTAGAAATGTTTAAATTGAAAATTAATTAGGAGTTTAATAAGGGTGTGAGTATTAAAAATTTAAATCAATTACTAATTTTGTATTATAAAAATTACGTAACTTACATGTAATTCATTAATATATTAATGTTAGGGACTTTGATCAAAATCTAAAAACTGATAAGATCTTAGTACATTAATATTAGAAATTAGGGACCAGATACTAATTTTTCCATGTTTTATTTATTTGTATTTCGACACTTTAAACTTTTTATATTTTGGGACTTTGAAAAAAAAAAATATAACCCTTTCTAAAGAAAACAACATCTTGTCATATCAATATTTCTAGTTGAGGGTGTATATTAGGATGTAAAACACGCATACATCACTTGTTGGTCGAAAATATTTTCAGTGAAGGATGTAAAATACGCATCATCTTGACCGAAAATGTAAATTGCTTGGTGACCAAATTTAGGAATATATTCGATGACTGAAATAGATTAAATAGTATGGATCGAATTGAGATCCAATGGTATTGGCTGAAAAGTAGTGTGGGTTGTTATGAGACAGCTACTCATATCCAATCTGAATTATTATATGTTGGTAAGTGGGGCTCTTCTCAAAAGTGGGTTTTTTGGCCTTTTTGTTTTTTTTGGGTATTGTGGCAGTAGATCTGAGTGCTATGTACATTCTTAATGCATACTAGCATAAGGCCACATGCAGTGTCTGAATTTTTTTTTTATTTGTTTTTTTGTTTTTAAAGTGGAAGAAGGAAGATAGTGAGAGAGAATGTGGGAGTGAGAGAGAGCTTTAATTTTTAATTTTTATTTTAGTTTTTATTAAAAGCTATGGTAGAATCACATGTAGGTGAAACTTTGAAAAAAACAGCAAAATTTTGGTTATGTGAAATTACATTTCTGTCCATATTTCTTATTCATGTTCAGTTTTAATTAAAAAGTTAAACTGGTAATTTTATAGGATTTTGATTGACAATGAGTGTTTTTCTTTGTTAATATGTAGTTTAGATTTAAAGCAATAATTAACCAATAATTAAGGTTACGTGGTGTTGCAAGAAAGAAAGAAATAATTGACAATAGTTTACCCAGAAAGTTTGGTAATTTACGTATTTTAATTGGAAAGATATTACGAACAACTCACTAATATTAAGATTGGTCTATTACTATAAAGATTAGTGGGTACGTAACTTTGAAAAAAATAGAATAGCTCATGAAAGGGACTGTATTTACGCTATGTTTAAGTAAGGGATTTTTAAGTCTTAAAGGATTATTTAGACCAAAGTATTAAGAAATGATCTACAAAATATTAGATGAACGATGTTAAGATGTCTTCTGCCTTCCATAAAAGCATGCGAGAGATATTTGTAAATCTCTAATTAGAAGGGATCATTTTGCATATCTCTTTCCATTGCTTTATAAGGCATTTCTAATTTTTCAAACATTAGGCTTTAGGTTCTTAAACCCACTGTTCAGCATTTTATCTTTCAATTTAAAAGTTTTTCCCTCTTGGCTTTCTTTTGAGCCATTCCTACAAGCATACCCTCAACAGCCTTCTCAACCTCCTCCGGTGGCTCTTCTGGTGGAGAGATCTTTTAGTGTGATCGATACACAGGATGGTACACTACGTGTAACTATACAAATTGTGGGATATGTGTGTTAAAAAATTAATAACTTAAAAAATAAAATTTTCCATTACTTATATAGAAACATGTAGTATACCAATTGTATTCCGATTACAATGAAAAATTTCTCCTTCTAATGGCTCGAAGTCAAAAAGGCCAATTCCTTTTTGACGTCCCTTATTGGTTGTACATTGAGAGCAATGACATCTGGACATATTGTATAAGGGTAATGTTAAGAAGACTAAATTTGTAGACAATATTTGCAAACTAAAACCGAACATATTGTATAAGGGTAATGTTAAGAAGACAAAATTTGTAGACAAAATGTGCAAACTAAAACCGAGGCATGTGTTATAAACTTATAAGATAAGTAGATGGGCGAATTGATCTGTTCCAATCTTTTATATATATATATATATTAATGTCTTTCGCTTATACCATATCACGTGATATACTCGAAATACACTGAAAAAAATAGTCGTCACAAGGGAATATGGAAAGATATATAGATACAAGAGATCACTGGGTACAATGCATGGAAACTCAAAATGGCTTTTATGGGGAAGCCAAGTAGTTTTTAGGAGTTCATTTGCCAGACTATTTCCAAGACTACAAAAAAAAAATTGATGAAAGTAGGTCTTTGGCAACTAGCTAGCCAGGGGATTCATTTGCGCTGTCTTGTACGTAAACCTTGGTTGTCCTTTCGGATCCTGCAGGAGCATACATGGGATTTTGGCACCTGCTATTGTTGCGGTCGTATTTTTCATCTAACTGCAGGAACATTAACTTATTGTTGATGTTTTCAAATAGGGGATTGTACGTAAGTAAGGTCATTTCCGGTCATAGAAGGTTAAATGTAGTTTTTTATTATAGTTTAGTCATTTCAAAATTAATATTTAAAAAATTACTTTAGAATTTCATCCCTAAGGACGGAAAGGGACCATCTCACGATCCCTTTCTCCTAATTCACCAAATCAGGGAATTCGTACCATTGAAATTTGATCCAACGGTTACAAACAGGGAGCCACTTTAAAAGTTATAATAATTTCAGCCATTGAATCAAATTTTAATGGCACAAATTCCAGATTAGGAGAAAGAAATCCGAAGAGGATCCCTTTCCCCCAAGGACCCCAACCATGTAAGGTTATATTTTATTTTTCCACGTATTTTACTACTTTTTGGCCAATTCTCCAGGAAGGGCTAAACGTAGCCCTTGACTATTATTAAGCCCTCTGAAAATAGTATTTTAAAAATTACTTTAAAATTTTTTTATTTTTTTTTCATCTCTAACAATGCAAGGTTATATTTTATTATCCTTTATATTTATCATTTTTTGAAGCCAAACTTAGCCTTTTTTTGGGCCAACATGTTCCTTACCCGACGGCAAAACATAACTTGATTCTTTTAACCCTTTTATTGGAGACTGATTTTATTAATTGTAAAACTAAATATAGCCTATAGCCATTCGGTGAAGAGCCTAATAAAGGAAAACCCATACAAGATTATGCTAATCCTCATGCTATGGAATTAAGGTGGGCCCCAATATTCAACAGTGAAACAGTTTGGGGCCCATTCAAAGAAGAATAGTGTTATTTATACACTGATTTTTAGCTCTCACACACACTTGTTAATTTTTTGTCATTGATCTTCTTGAATTCATTTGATTTACCAATCAAAAATTAAAAAAGATGCATAAGAAGTAAAAATAAGTATGTGAATAATATCACCCTTTAAAGAATTATAATAAGCCAATGATCATTCCATTAGTATATGGACCGTCCAATCCTTTGGCCTCTCGATCTATGTTGTCCTATCTCTCCTCCCTCACATTTATAACCATATTCCCCTCTCCCTCTTTCTCCCTCTCTCGAACCCAACCACCCTTCTTTTAAGCTGCTTCTTTTCATGCATTGTTCATATATAGGAATTAGACGATACACTTCACAATTTTCCTTCTTAAAACAACGTCTCTTAGATTTTTTTTTTTCTTTTTTTTGTTCCCCTCATAGATTTAGACGCATGCCAGATCAAGATGGGTCGTGTTAAGTTGGAGATAAAGAGAATAGAAAACAACACTAATCGACAAGTTACATTCTCAAAGCGTAGAAATGGACTCATTAAGAAAGCTTATGAGCTTTCCATCCTTTGTGATATTGACATTGCTCTTATCATGTTCTCTCCCTCTGGTCGCCTTAGCCATTTTTCCGGCAAAAGAAGGTTCTACTATCCATAATTTCTCACTTTTTATATGTTCTTCATTCGTTTAAGAAGGATGCATGTGTTGCAGTTGTTTTAAATTTGCATGTAACATTTAACAGATTCATGTTCTTTTAAATAGAGAAAGTGATGAATATATATGAGAAATTGTTGAGAGTTGTACACTTAAATTGAACTCAATATGCTTTTCCGGATTTTCATAATCTTTACTATGTGATTAATGTTGTGATAGAAGTGAATAGTCTTCAAAATCATTCTAAGAAGTGGCATGGTTTCTACACATCCATATTTTTTCTGGTATTTGCACCTGCATTAACATAAGCCTGGGGAATAGGATCATTGACCACAATGATTGAACATCCTTTGCATCTCTAATTAGGGAGAAAGTAAATGCTAATGACAATCGTGCACGCGTATTAAAATAATTAATCTGTTATTTATGTATGTTTATGGCCAACCACGTGTATTTATATATTCAAACAATGCATGTTCTTGTTTAGCAAATGGAAATTGTGTTCAATTAAGCTTTTAAAAAGGATTCAGGAACCTCTGTATGTTTTTTTGTTGCAATACTATACAAGAAAACATGCAGAGAATACAAATCCCTTAAAAAGTATTCAATTGAAAGAAAAAAACTCTTAAAAGGCAACAATCATTTCGCATTTTTTTGGTTCATTCCCTAAGTGTGATTATCCAAACAACCTCCTGTTGACTAGTTCCAAATTAGAGTATAGATGTTCCATTGCTATTTAATCATATATTGATACAAGCTTACGGGTTTATCATTTTATTTCTCTTTTTCCTATTGGTTTGGGTTTATTAATTATAATTCAATTCAAATTATCTGTTCTGATAAAAATGTTATTGTGAAATCAGGATTGAGGATGTGTTCACTCGCTACATTAATCTCCCCGACCAAGAAAGAGAGCAGTATGTGCGCTTAAACTCGAATTACTTTATATTTAGGGTAGTGTTATACACACGTTTTTTTAATTTAATTTATTTTTTAATTTTTTTAATTTTTAATTTTTATATATATTGTTAACATACTTTCAGTTAATTTTTGTCCTTTGGTAGTTTCAATTCATTCGATTTGATGACCAGAAGTTGAGATGAGTGTGTTTATAGCAGCTTCCTATATTTATTACCAAATAAATAAAAAAAAAAGATTGGATGATTTGGAATTTTATCCATTGGTCAGCTATTTGATTATACCTATATTTTCTTATTTTCGCAGCGCTATAATTTTTCCTGATCACAACAGACACCCGTATGCTCTTGGTCCCTATAGAATTATCAGTCTCAAAGTTCATCATTTTATTAAACCTTTGATTTTTTTTTTCTCGAATTTGTCAAATAATTTGTTCATTGTCTTTTTTGCAGCGATCTTCAAAACAAAGAGGTCAGATGCATGATATCTAGCAATGTACCCAATAATTTTATCTTGTGGTTTTTCATATTAATTTTTCAAGAGAAAATTAAATGAAGGCATACGTATACGATGTCTTTTTTTTTTTTTCTGCAGTATTTGCTAAGGGTCCTTCAGCAACTAAGAAGTGAAAATGATATTGCTCTACAACTTGCCAAGTTTGTTTTCCTCTTCTGCTTACATGTTATTAGAACGCATATTGTTCTCAACCTTCTAAAATTAGTAAAGTTCAAGAAAAAAACAAATTTAAAAAACATTTCCTTATTCCTTCAAGTGATTTTGTTTGCTATAAATTAGTTTATTGATTTTGTTCGTTTCTTCCTTGTATGATGTCAACTCTGATTACTTCGACTGGGGGTAGTCCTACTGCTGTTAGCTCGGAAATTGAGGTACAAACTTTGTTACCTTTTGTGAGGTTGTTTTTGTAAGCTACATGGCAATATCAATATTCGAGGGGGACATAATAAGACGTTTATAATTATTTTTTTTAGTTTTTTATTTTCAGGTTTTCACTTTCTGAAAACTGAATATTAAAATTTTGTTTGATAATTACTTTTAATTTTTAATTTTTTAAAAAAATACTGCGGTACATCGTCCAATTTTTGCTCATGGTTACGTGGTTATTTTTTTCGTCGGAACCTTGACATGGTTAAATTTCACTTTCCATGTAGGAGCTTCAACAGGAAATTGGTGGGCTACAACAACAACTTCAAATGGCTGAGGAGCAGATAAGGTAAAAGATAAAAAAGAACCTGCAAACTATATATGAATATGATAAATGTGTCCACTGACTATTTGAGAAAAGAAAAGAAAATCGAAAATGCTATTTACGCTCTCAGTTATTTGTCAGTGAGCTTCGTTTTTCTTTTTAAGCTATATAAATTTATATTTGACGAATGTTAAATGTATATAGGATATATGAGCCAGATCCACTAAAAATGACATCTACGGCGGAGATTGAATCCTGTGAGAAAAGCCTAATGGACACATTGACGAGTGTTATGCAGAGAAAGGTTTGAGGCACCCCACTTAATTAAATTTTTTTTTATCTGGTTTCTTATGAGTAAGAGAACATCAAGTATGATCTATATTTTCAAATTTCAGGAATATTTGTTGAGCAATCATCTATCTTCCTATGATCCCTCAGGAATACAGGTAACAAAACAAAAAAGGAATGTCATTAAGCATGTACTTAGATACATTAAAATTAAAAATTAAAAAGAAGTTAGATTTTTAATTGAGAGGTTAGCATAGTCTTGATAATTTTATGTATGCATGCACAGCAAGTGTTGCCAGGCTCCTTCGAGAATGAGGTGGCAGGTTGGTTGTCTAGCGCTGGTCACAACCAAGCCCAAATTTACGATGCATCTGCTCCCTTGGAGCATCAACTTAGGTACCTACTTAACTATATTTCTTGAGTTAATTATATTTTACACCATTTGAGTTTGAGATGGTTTTCAAAATTGGTCATGAAGATTTAATTTTCTTATATTGCAGTTTGAGGTTTTGAAATTATATCAACTTATACACTCTTTATATCTGAAAGTCTAATCATCTACTTTTTTTTTTTGTCAATGTGGTGCAAATGCTGCTTAAATGTCAACCTAATCATGGTGTAATATGTGAAACCTAAATTTTGTGTCTCATTTTGAAAATCACCCCAAATTTAAAGGGTGTAAAATGTAGCTATCCATTTTATTCTTTAATTTATATACAGAAAAAAAAATTATTGAAAGTTTTTACGATATTGTCTTTTAAATATAGGAATTTGTCATCGACACTGTATGATCCGTTTTCACAAGGACCAAGTTCGAATGCAGATCCAAGTACCATAGCGCAGTGTCATGTGAGTGTCGCAAATGCTAGTGATGGAGAGCTTTCATCTTGGCCTCAGACTTACACTACTTCCTCAGGACACCCCTCCACCCTCATTTCTCCAACCTTGTTGCCACAATATCAGGTTTAGTTCAACCTTCTACATGCATTCTATGTATTCATCTTTCAATCTCAGTAGGAGTGCCAAAGTATACGGTTAATCACCTAATTACTAGGTTGTTTCAAACATGATTTTTTTTTTAACAAACATGATTTTATTTAATCAAAGTTTAAATTCATATTTTATTCTATACTTTAAAACATAATTCTACTTAGCCATAGGTTCTGATTCACAGTCAACTTCAAAATATATACTTGATTGTTAGACAAAATTTTCTTTTTAACCAAACTGTTAATCATGATGACATATTTAGGTTTTTAGACATAATTTGACCTAACCAATGATTGTTATTCACAAATTACAATCTAATATGACTGCCGAATTAGAGAAAAGTTCCTACCACGTTTATGATTTATGTGACAGTGAATTTATATGCATGTTAACGAACAGTGAACATGATTTCACATTCAAATATGGTTAAATCATAATCAATATATGGTTATGATTCACTTCGACACATTAATCATATGGTTCACCAACATAACGTTTTAGTACACTCTGAATCATGACAACTTAATGTATATGATTGGTTGATATGTTTGAAATTCCAGCCCAAGTACTCCTCTTGTGATTTTTTTTGCAAGTCATGAATTTATATTTTTGATGTGAATTAGGATTATAAAATTCAAATGCTAATTAAGTGACTTAATCTAAATGATGATGCAATTAAGCAGCATTCGATGGTAGGCTCCAACATGGCAGAAATAATGCCACATGAGCAGGTGGAGATCCCAGTTAGCAGCTCCAGTGTACAAGCTTACAATGAAGCTGCAGATTATAATCATGAAAACAAAGTTCCTCAGCTTAATGGGCATTGACATAATACCAAAGCAAAAAATGCGCAGAGTTCATGATCGTTGCTCCAGATATATTAACTTTAATTAGCTGATGTAATTAGCAAAACATATAACTAGGATAATTTAGCTGCGGCCAGCGGCTACTGAAAACCTGTTAAAGTGATGCAAGGTTTTGCATGAATGTTATCTTTTCGTTTGATTAGATGTAATTATATGGAGTAAGTTTTGTATTGTCTTTTTGTTTGTTTGTAATCATGAAATTGTATTTCCGATGGATGAGATTCCATGATGATAGGCACGGCAACATCCTTATACATGTTTTGAGCTATAAGCATAAATGAACGCATATCAAAAGGTTGTTTTTGGGATCTTTGTTTGAGGGGGGATTCGTTCTCGGCTTTGCATAGATACATTAATATTGTGAAATCAGACATATTAGTACTATAATTTTTTCCACATATTTGTTAGAAATTCACATAGTAATACCTCATCATTTGTCACAACAAGATGTCGTGGCCAAGCTATGTGACTCTCAATTGCTTGTTTGATATTCATAGATTCACAACTAAGTATTGGGTGAAGAACATATTCTTTAATTGCTACATCAATAGAAACACGTAGGTTCATAGGCCCTAGTGGAACTCCATGTATTGGCCCGTCTAATGGGAAAACTGATCCATATGCAACAATGTTCCTAGTAGTGTCTATAGCGAGCTTGCATTGCTGTACCTTAAAGACAAATATTTCATTAATAAATCAATTACTGTTAAGATTATAGTATAAATAGGAAAGACATAAAAGGCATGTACCTTCTTGATATCATATATTTTTTTCATGGAATTTGCAGTTTTGTTCTTCTTTTCATTGATGTTCACATCACATATGTTCTGTTGATCACTTTGCTTTACCTTAGAAAATTAAATTAAATTAATAATTGCTACTTAATATAGCCAAGAAGAACAAATATTGCAATGACTTTGTACCTTGAAATGCTTGTTGATATCACTTTCTTTTTCGTTTGAATTTGCAATTTTGTCTGTCTTTTCCATGATGTTCAAATTAGATATTTCCTCCATATCATTTTGCTTGACCTAAGAAAAGTAAACTTAAATTAACATTGCTACTTATTATAGTTAAGAAGAACCAAACTTGCAATGACTCGTACATACCTTCATAGCTTTAATCTTATCCATGGTTTTAGTATTCTTGCTATCCTTTTGTTTCACTATTTTCTTAAACATGATTTCTGCCACATCGCCATGTTTTGCTCTCTTCTTAAACCTGATTTCCACCAGATCACCCTGTTTCACTTTATCAGTAGATGTTTCATTTTTTTCTTTCTTTCCTTGCTATGCAACAAGCTTTCTCAAAAATACAATTGGTTGTACCACATTAGATTGGACCAACTCTTGTATCTTGCTCAATGGATCTGGAGTTAACAAAGAAGAAATCAAATTGAATTTCTTATTTAACTCCTCAATGTGTAAACTTTGCTACTTTGCATCATTTGTTGTTGACTCGATTGAGTTTTGCACATTGGAGTCTTGAAGTATGTCTTATGACTGACCACAGTTCCAACACCTCCTACTCGACCTGAATATTCAGGTGTTTCCAAAGCAAGTTAATATGTCATTGCTACCAGATATTGGTAAGTCCCATCTTTAACAACCTTAGTTACTTCATCCTATAACAGTTGGCATCAGTATGAAATATATCAATTAAGTATCTTTCCTAACATTACACATAAAACTTACTATTTTATCAGTGTGTTCTTTCATCATCTCATTAGTATAGTTTCCCTTTTTATCAATACGCCCAAGCTTCCAAAGCACTGATCGGTCAATGTCAGCAGTGATTCCGTAAGCTGATTTCTATTTGGATGAACGTATCAAAATTAGATCAAATAGTTTTGATTTGTATAATAATTAAATGAATAAAAAAGTAACAGGACATTACTATTTGTTCTTCCAATCTTGCATAGCCTTTTCTAGAAAGTCGATGAGGGTACTTATGCTTAGCTCGTCTCCTCGACTGTTCTTAATGGATTTTCTATCAAATGCAATCCAATAATTAGTCTTTAATAATAGCAAAACAAAATATGTACCAGATGCTTCTAAATTAATTTGGAAATTATATATACTTACCATATGCTTCTCAGTTAATCTCAACCTTACATATTCATCTCATACTAGCTAATGAATGAAATCTTAGATTTTTGGTGGTTTCTTTAAGACTTCAGGTTGATCTTTGAACTTTTATATGTACTCACATGTTAGATTACTCTTGAACGTTCGCCACATCAATGCAGCACTCTTCAAAACATGTGCTCTACTGTTTGAATGTACTATAAATGCTATCTACAAATGCATAATAGAAACTGGTCATTACTTTCACAAAGTCAATTATTTGACATCTTATAGTCAATTAACCAAATGGATTTGAAAATCTAAATCCATCCAGACCCTTACGATCAACGAAAAATCTTCCTTTGGTAAGTATGCTAATAGATACAATGTTTTGATTTTCATGCATGTGATTTAGTGAAGATGGTTGAACTCTTTAATGCTTTCAGTAAATAGTAAGTGACAAGCCATACTCCACATATAATGAGCTATAGTTCATGGGCCATGGTTAAGTATTCATGGGTTGTGTGGGTCATGAGCAATAATTTTTAAATTAATTGAATTGTGCTGCGGTGTGGGTAAACTGTATTTACGGAGCAAGAAGGGCTTTTTTTTTTTTTTTTTTTTTTTTTTTTTAATTTTTATCAAATTTTAACCAGGTGAACTATACAAAATTAACATCACATCAGGATCAAGAATGAATATTATTTGTTCAAAAGAAAAAAAAATTAAGAATGAATGCTAACAGATGTAAAAGCCTTTTTTTTTGTTTAATTTTTAAAGACATACCTAAACCATATCTCAAATCTTTTTTTTTTTTTTTCTTTTTTTTAAGATGACTCCACTTCTTTCCAAGTTGGAACTGTGGTACACCCCATAAGGCCAATAAAACCAGCTAGTTTTGCCCCTGCAAATCCACACGATTGTCCCTTACTATTATATCCAACCTCCAACCAATCCCCATCACTTCTACGTTGCACTAAGTTTTACAATTGAGTTGCACCTCTTGGCTTCCTTGTTACAAAATCTTGGTCATCTTCTTCTGAATCTGTCATTTCATCAAGATATTTTGCAAGATTTATATTAAATCAAGACAATGATCAAATTAGTAAGATGAGAAAGAAAGAAAAATAAAGAACCTTAAAGGTGATGTTTGGTTCCTTGAATGAACCTTAAACGAATAGGCTCATGCCAGTATTTGGTTGAGGAAGAAAGAAAAATAAAGAAATAGGGCAATTGGCCATTATCCAAAATAATAAAACTTAATATGAATTCAACTCACATTTCCACAAAGACTATAGTCATACTTCATCTCAGCCTAATAATCTCTAGATAAATTAAGCCTTACCAATAAGTCATAAATCCAAAAGTATGGAGAAAATATAAAGTCCTAATGTAATTTAAAAATATGCATTCAATAGCATTCAATAACATATGAAATATAGTATATATTCTTCTGAATGATATGACCATGTATTTTCAACCCAAATGCCTTTGTAGTCATCCCCATGTATATGTCATCATACTTCGTAGTTAGTACATCAAATGACTCAACGGGTAGCAATTTAGTAGTAAGACATTCACATTCAATTATAGTATCTCCTAGCTCATCATCATGTAGCCAATCATACTAAGGCCTTGGCAGTACAACCGACCACATTGCACATGGAACCTTCTGGATCTGCATTGTAAAATATCTGCTTCACTTGACTAGCTAAAACAAAACTATTTGACTTGTGTCCAATTTTGTTGAGGTCAATTATTTTGATCCCAAACTTTTCTAATCTGATGCCACTTTTATTTTCAACACAATCACGTTTAAACACTACACACATGAATGCATTATAATTAAGTTTCCATATCTCTTGAATCACACTATAAAAATTTGTATCTGCGATAATAAGATTCTTATCCTTAGCGCTTGAAATTTGCATCGTATTGACTATTAAAGCTTACTCCACTGTTTTGAGTGACTTGTGAATCATCACGAGACTTGGTGTGAAAATTACAACCATTAATAGAATATCTAGAATATTTTGTTACTTCAGCTTAAGGGCCATGTGTTATCCATCTCAGGGTTTCTAACATGTGATTATTAGGGACATTAAACTCATCCTCAACCTGTATATGTTTGCATAATTAGTTTGAGTTCATAAACAAAAATGTTAGAACATAAGTGCAATGCGAGTTTAATACCTTTTTTGCAACCAATAAATGAAAGTTTGGTTATGTTGATCCTGAAGCCACTTCAAAGATTATGATTTTTTGGGGTGCTCCTTAGTCAAGGATTTCCTATGCTCCTTGATAGTTTTTTTAATTAGGTTACATTGAGTTAGTCAAAAGGATACAAAATGTTGTAAGTAAATGATAAAACAATGATGAGTTAAACCATATAAATGAGTATGAGTGGCTGAACTTACTTGATATAAGGTTTCACTTTTGATGTGTTATCCAAGACATAATGATGTGCTTGCTGCCAATACTTTTTATCCACCTTAAAAAATATTCCAACCAATAATGGATAGCCAACATCTGTATGATGTGAACAAATCTTCAACAGGATTCCAATTGGGTCTACTCCTGATAAATACTCGCTACAAACTTTTATAGCTTATTTTGCAATGTAACATTCAACCATACAACCCTCTAGACGATATATATTTCTCACATAATCCTTTAATTTTTCCAACAAAAATAAACCGATCCACGTAAACGAACTTCCCTAACCAAGTGCACTATGAGATGGACCATTATATCAAAAAAGAAAGTGGAAAAATCTGTTTAAGAAAGCACAAAGTAATCACCAACTTACTTTGTGTTTCATCTAACCTTACAACGTCCACTATTTTGCAGCATAAGTGACTAAAGAATAGACAATATCTAGTGATAACAAATCTTACATGCTTTGGCAGTCTTGCACGAAGTGCCACGGGAAGTAGTTGCTACATAAGTATCTGACAATCATGAGATTTAAGATTAAACAGTTTCAACTCCTCCATTGACACAAGGTTTCTGAAATTTGAAGAATATCTAGATGGGACCTTGAGTTTGGACAATGCTTTGCAAACTGAAATGTTCTCATCCTTAGAAAATGTATAAGGTGCTGGGGGAAGGAATATTCTGTTATTTCCATGTTCTGGTGCCAAATTTTTGCATAGACCCAAAAAAATTAGACCATTCCGAGCTGCCACACCATCCTTTGTTTTTGCAGGAATGTTAAGTAATGTACCATAGATACTCTCACAAACATTCTTCTCAATATGCATAACATCTAAACAACATCGAACATGCAGTGACTTCCAATATGGTAAATCAAAGAAGATTGACTTCTTTTTTCCAACGAGTTTGAACATCAGCCTTTTTATCAATATCTTTTGCCTTCTTATCTGTTTCTTTTGTGTTCGTTGTTCAATTCCTCACCTTCCCTTTTCCAAGAAGCTTTCCGTTTTTTGACATAATATTTCTTTTATTTTTGTTTATTGATGGGAGATCTACATTCTTCTTACCCCATTATATTTTGATTGCTTCAACTTCATGCAATATTTCTTCCCCACTAATAGAGATGGAGCTGACCCAAACTCTAGGGTATCGTCAAATGGTTTTTTCTGTTGTAGGTAATGATGATTTTGTCGTAGGAATCTTCTATAACCAGTAATGATTACCTTTCTCCCTAAATTTATCCATTTAGAAGATGTTCTATCACCACATATAGGGCATCCAAAGTATCATTTCACACTAAACCCATACAAGTTTCCGTAAGCAAGAAAGTCATTGATGGTCCATAATAACACAACCTTTAACATAAAGTTGTCCTTATTGTATGCATCATAAGTTTCAACACCAAACTCCCATAGAGTTTTCAAGTCATCAACAAATAGTCCCATGTAAACATCGATATCATTACCTGGTTGCTTAGGGCCAAATATCAACAGTGTTAACATCATAAATTTTCGCTTCATGCATAACCATGGTGGAAGGTTGTAAATGACCATAATCACTGGCCAACAACGATATCTATTGCTTAATGCGCCATGGGGATTAATCTCATCGGTTGAAATTGATAGTTGAAGATTTCTTGGGCCACCACCAAATTCTAGCCACATGTGGTCAACAAACTTCCATGAGGGAGAGTCAGTCGGATGATGCAACTTACCATCAACTTTTCTATCTTGAGCATGCCATATCAAATTCTTTGCCGTCTTACTATTATCAGTGTTCTAAAAAACGGCCTAGGCGCTAGGCGGAGGGTGGTCGAGGCGTTTTCTTGCAAAACGGTGGGAAAAAACGAATGGGCTCTAGGTGGCCCTAGGCCCTTTTTTTATTATTTTTTTATTTTTTTTTTGAAATTGAAATTGAGATTGAAAAAAAAAAATCCTACCTTTATTCTAACTTTCTAAGTTCCTGTTCCCTACATGCGCATATGTTTATACCTTGAAATTTTGTTAATTTTATAGAATTGGTGTGTATCAACTTAAATTCCGGGATATTAAGGACAATTACTATATTTCCTTATTTTCCTCCTATTTTGCATTTTATGTGGTTTTAAATTGTGAACTTGTTGTACATATGTCATCCTACAATACTCCTCATTATGATTATATGGCATATATGCTTAGTATGTTTTTAAATTTTGGACTTGTTGGATACTCTTTTTGCATTTTATCGTTCTTTTATTATTTTATCCTTATATTTCATACAAGTATAATTTTTTGTAAGTGTCAATATACACTTATTTACAAGAAATTTATCTAAATTTGCCTAGGCGCTAGGCGTTAGCCCGCTGCCCGACTAGCACCTATCGTTTTTTAGAACCTTGGCTAAACATTCTTTGAAATCTTTTTTTTTAGTATATCGACATTTTTACACTAAGGGGAGGGGGAGTTCGGCTAAGCCACATAATAAACAACCTAATTTGATATCGAATTCGTCATTCATGAGATTCGAACCTAAGACCTCTCACTTCCAAGTGAAGATAAATACCACCAGACCATAGTACTGAGTGGCAACATTCTTTGAAATCTTGGAATAAGGGGAAAATACCATACCTTTGCATGTACCCCTACTAGGCTCCCCAGAACTTCTATTAACCTTCCATCTAGAAAAACCACATGTAGGACATGTGGTTGCATCTAAATGCTTTCCTATATAGGATGCAATCACTGGGGCATGCATGAATTTTTTTCGTACTCAATTCCAAGAGAAAACAATGTTTTTTTTTTTTGCTTCATACACAGTGGGGGGTTATTTCATTCTTCTGTGGGACCAATACTCCTAAAAATTCTTGTAAATTTGCAAATAGTTTATCACTACACCCATTCTTTGCTTTATTTTGTACAATCTGACCAAGGGTATACAGGTTTCTCTGCATCCTCTAACAACTTTTCAAATTGTTCAGGATTTGAAACAAAATGATCATCAGCTGCTTCCACCATCATGATGGTGTTATCTTCAACTATTTCTTCCCGGTTACTCCTTTTCTCATTCTTATAATTTGGAACAGCTTCTCCATGCCAATACCATGTACAATAACTTAGAGCTATACCATTGAAATAGAGATCCTCTTTTATCTCCTTAACCGTCCTTGATTTAATGTTACCACATTTTAGGCACGGACAACGTATATAGTTAAATATTAGTAGCATGAAGCATATCATAATTCAAAAAGTTTTCCACCCCTTTGGAATACATTTGTCATCTTCTATCCATAGACATCCAAGATTTATCCATTCTAAAACAGTTATATTAATTAATATTAGAACAAAACATATAACGAGATTGCATGAAAATAACAACTAATAATATACTCTCAAACCAATCTAAGAAATAAAATTTTCTGATATGTAGTGGTGATATTTAGGGATTATGTATTTTTTTAATTTAACATTGTTGGGTGACAACTTTTGAGCTCAAACACATCAATGAGTGTGTTTTGTGTTGTGATATTTTAACACCTCTCAACTTTAGATTAGGTTACTACTATGTTTAATATTATGTGTATTACTACTATCACGAACCCAATAAACAATACGTAGGTTGATACTCCAACACACATCTATAGTTATAGGAATCGATCCCAACCCCAACCTTGCTTTTATCATTATGCTAATTTGAATATCTACCATGACTATTGTTTGTTTACTTATTTGATTATATAAGACTACTTAGTATGTGTTTTGGATGAGGGACTTTCAAAGTTGTAGGGACTTTAGACTCAATGGTTAAAAATGAGGAAAACGAGCGCTAACAATGAACTACTCAAAGCACTACAAATGAAGCTACAACAAATTTTCTACTTTCGCATGACTCTCGGATGTATTGGTCTAGTCATATTCAAGTCCTCTATCTAAATTTCAAAGCATGATCCTAAGAAATTGGAACCTAAGTTTTATGAACGTCCAATCAAGTGAATTTGGTTTATTCTTTACAAGGGTGATGATTGAATAGAAACCTGTACACATGAGTGAGATTTTGGCCAACTCAAAGTCAAATTCAAGTCACTCTAACTCTCTGAACCATAAGTTAGATTTTGGCCGACTCAAATTCAAAACAGTTTGGCGCGGAGAAAAAAAAATATCTCGGCAACAATCAGTGTATGCTTTCTAATGAAACTAATTATGCAAACAAACAAGTTATCCTTGCTAAGGAAATCACTCACAACTATCAAGCATATCGCTAGCAGATAATTGGTCAAAATAAATACCCCATTTGGATTTTGATTATAAGTACCTTTGCTCTAAAGAGAAAATTATAGGTCCCAATTTGGATTTAGTATATATCATTTAACAATATGCTACATGTTAATACCATTTAGGGAAGGATGAATAATAAAATACCTGATAAGGAAGAGACGACAAGGTTCCAGGAACAAAACAGCAGCAACTTTATATATTTCTTTCCTCTTAGTTATATCAATAATCGGCACAACTTCTTCTGCCTCTCGTCCTGAAAATTTCCAAGTACAAATTATGAAGGAAAACTGTAAGCTATAGTAACCAAGAACTTTATTCTAGTGCGGCAAATTCAAATTGCAGAGGCTATATGTAAGACTACGTGCACCACTTATAATGTAAACAACATTATGAAAGACTAGATTTCACGAAGTCATAGTCCTTTCTGTCTCCTTCAAGTGCAAAATCTAAATTAAGCACAAAAGAAAACTTATAAATTAAGATGCAGATAAACACTCTGGTTCCTTAACTATAACACCACAGATTAATATTTCCGAATATCCTTCCTTTCAATCACAAAAATGTCATTCTTCCGAGTCCTCAAGGATATATTGTCCTAACACAACCTTAGTGGATTAATCAACAGTTTTTCACTTACGACCAAATGAAAGACAACCAGAAGACAAAAAAAAAAAAAGAAAAAAAAAGAAGAAGTTGACAAATCCAACCAATATATGAACCAAATAATTAGGAAAATCAATAAATTTAAGTCGGACCAAATCCACATTAATACGAATTAGGATTGACATTTAAAAGCAACTTTAACATTCAACAAACAACAAATCATTATTCACATAGCATGATTTGAAGATAGAAAATTTAATGAACAAAACCAAGACTGTCTTTGCATTTATAACCAAATCAAATGAACAATCAATCTCAACAACATTTACATACCAACTACTCTGGGGCAATAAGAAGGGAAGCTTGATAATTAAAATTTGCTTCGTCTACCTAGTACCTCCGTGGCTACTGCTCTGCTCCTTTGCGATGAACTACCGATTCCTAAATTTTAAAACTTAGTTGGTTTCGGTAAAAAATTCATTCATACAAACGCAAAAGGTAATAGCGGATAACATTATTGCCATTTACAAAGCAGCAAAAAACAAGGCTAAATTATTTAGTGAAATATCATAATCACTCATTAACGTGTAGCATATAAGATAGGGAAATGCCATAACAGAAACTAACACAACCTCTGGACTCTGAACTATATACAGCCTTAGAAACAATTAAGAGACCGACTACAATTACGTTTAAGAGTATGTGGACCTCATATACCTAGAAGACTTAATTCTTTTATAGCTTCATCCATTCTTTGAACCTAAAATTTTGTTCTCTCTCTGTAAGTTTACCTTAGGATCTATGAATTGAGAGTTCATCAATTGTTTCCCCTCGCATCGAGGGGTAATGGACCACACTGAATTTTGTAACATTTATATCTCAATGATAATTTACGACTTATATGACGGATTACACAAGAATTTACAAGAACTGGGAAAGATATGACCCATTGTACTTCTACTGATTTTAGTGTTGTCGGAAAAACGATTTAGAGAGAAATTAATCAACATTAGTTTTGTTACTGATGATTTTTAATGAAATGAATTTCTTAGCTTTTCGTGTTTTACTCCATCCTTGTTCATGTGCTACTTTTGAACGATATTTCAGTTGGTACGAATAAGGTGCAACCCAAACATGTTTTAATTTACCATATGTTAAGACCGGTTCGAACCTTGACTCGTGTACACAAAAACAGTTGCTATTACTCGAGTACCACAACACAAATCAATATCTTCAACATCCCTCAGCTCTGCACAAGGGCACAATATATAAACTATTGCATGCAAAGATAAAAAATAAAAGCAGAGCTTATGAGGAGTTTTATCAAACACATGGTGTGCTCAGTGTTCTTAAAATCGGCCTAGGCGGCCGTCTAGATGCTGGGTGGTGGCCGGCCATGAGGATTAACTCAAAATCGGACAGGGATTAGGCGGCCACCGAGACGGCCTGGGCAGCCCTTGAGCGGCGCAGGCGGTCCAGGAATTTCAGCTTTGTTATGTTTTCAAGAATGTAGATCACCTTTCTGGGTTTCTTTTGGTTTTCGGTTTGGCAAAGAGGAAAGATGAAGATGGTGACTTACTTTCTCTTCCTTTCACACCACGTGACCACTCTACATACTATTCTTATTTAATTTTTTTTTCTTAGTTTCTCTCCAATCAAATTTGGACACCTAGCATCAAATTACTTGCTCTTTGTACAAAGCCATAGGTTGTCAGTCCTAGCATTGATTTTTCTCATAAAAACTGATGAGGCTGAATGTCATTACCAATAAGTTTTGGTGTAGAGTCCCATCTTTATGCGTCCTAGTGTGCCCTTTCCACATCCACATATTTGACACCTTTATTTCTCTTTAAATTCAACATAAATTAATATGATCTCTAAAAAAATATTTTGCAAATTATTATGAACCACCCATATTGTCATCAGAATTTTCTCTTTATTATAAACCACCCAACCCACTACGTGGGATTTTTACTTTTGTTTTTTAAAAATTAGATATAATCATTCAAAATGTCTTAAGTTATATGGCATATATGCTTAATATGTTTTTAAATTTTGGATTTGTTAGATAATATTTTTTTGTATTTTATCATTCTTTTATTATCTTATTCATGAATTTCATACAAGTATAATTTTTTTGTAAGTGTCAATATGCACTTATTTACAAGATATAAAAAAAATTTACTTAACTCAATCTAGGCCGCCTAGACCCCACTTAGCCGCCTAGACGTTAGGCGCCAGCTCGCTGCTCAATTAGCGCCTAACATTTTTTAGAACCTTGGTTGTGCTATAAACACTAGCTCCCACAAGAACACAAATCTAAAGATTAGGAAAAAAAATGATAAAAATAATAGTTAATCTAATTTAGAATTTATATTAAGGGGTTCACAAAGTTCAAAAAAAAAAAAAAATGATCATGGTAGTGATTAATTTGGCAGTGACTAACCAAATCAAATAAAATAATCAATCTCAACTACAATCTGTAACAACTGCTTTTAGCAAATGCCAATGCAAACTAAAATCTGTCCAGCCACATAGTTTGGATTAATCAATACAACTTCACAAAAGAGATTAATATATAAATTATTTTCTAGAAAACCCATAACCAATCCAACAAACTTACCTTACACAATTAGGTTTTGAGTGAAATTTGGGGAAAACAATCAATCAGGTTGATGAAGACTGTGGGCATCCCAAAGAGAGAGAGAGAGAAAGAGAGGGAGAGATAGAAAGAGAGTGAGTGTTCGTGATGAAGAATGTTTTAGGAATTTGCAGCATAAGTCTTCTGCCTTGAGGAGAAAGAGAGCGTTGATCTTTCATTATCTACGTATCTGGGAGTTGGCTGGGTAGTGGAGTGAAGGAGACGTGAGGGTTTAGCAAGTTTTGAGGAATTCGCGGGATCTTCCGCTCTCCTTTTTTTATAAATCATTCATGTAGCTTTTTTTTTTTTTTTTTTTTTTTTTTTAAGCTTTTATTTATTTATTTATTTTATGCAAGAAAATTCATTAAAGTACTACACCTCTAGTACAACCATTTTCAATACAATCAAAATTAAAGGCAGAAAGAGCAACATCAGGTAAGCAGGAATCCTAATAATGAGGATTCGAGATGGAGAGACCAAGGTGAGCTAAAGCATCCACAGCAAAGTTTGCCTCCCTGAAAATGTGTTTTCGGTCAACAGGACTAAAAGACTGAGCCAGGATACGAATACCATTGATTATAGAGCTAACTCTCCAAGGAATCCCCTAGTGACCTTGCACAGCTTCAATGATGAGTTTAGAGTCCCCCTCCACCATCACTTTGGTGAAACTCTTGATCCTAGCACATTGGAGCCCTTTTCGCAAAACCATCGCTTCTGCTACCAAAATAGTGGCGCCATCAAGGTTAAGAGCCCTCGCCCCAATCACTTGTGAATTACTGTTACGGAGCACAAAGGCAGCAGCAACACAGTTGTTCGAAACTAAACCATCAAAATTGAGTTTAATCACATCAGGTCGGTCAGGAGGATGCCATTTAATAAAGGAAGAGATAGGTAAAGCCTCATTGGAGCCACACTTCCCATTAGCCTCGAAAAAAGCCGAACCAACATTATCGGCAAACCAACACTATCGGTGATAGAAACACAACGAACCGGGATCGAGGGCACACTTCTGAACACCAAGTTATTTCTTTATATCCAAATTTTCCAACAGTTCAGAATTACTTTACTAAGATAAAAAAGGTCGTCTTTGTCATTAGAACTTAAGGATTCCATCCAATCAAAAAAAATTATCATTAGTACTTATGATACCATTATTAAAACTACCAAAAGTTAAGCTCCAAACTTTAGTAGCAAAAATACAATTACAAAAAAGATGACACTAATCTTCGACTATATTACATAACGGACATAACTTATCAATGTTTTTAACAAAACGACTTAAGCGTTTTTTTGGTTTGCAATCTTTCTTGAATCAGAAGCCAAGCGAACATTTTAACCTTAGGAGGAATAGTTAGCTTCCACAATTTCTTTAACAAAGTAAGGCGATTACTAGAGTGATTTTTCCAATTTTGTAGCCAAGTAGCAGACTTAATGGAAAAGCTCCCATTATTGGTTAAGCCCCCAAAATTAATTTGTCCTTCGGCTCCTGTAAAGGGAGAGGAATGCAGCAAATTTTTCTAATGATGTCATCATCAACTACATTAGCTAATTTAATGCTATCCCAACTATTATGAACTATAAATTGCTTACTTTAAGATTCCAATCAATATTATTCCCATCATTCACGGGAATTAAATGAAAAAGGGGGTAAGGAAAAACCCAATGATGGGTGCAGAAGAGTATGACTTCACCATTACCCACAATCCCTCTCACTCCCTCATGAATGATGTTTCTATTAGAAAGAATGCTTTTCCAAGCAAGTGAGTAGTTTTGTTTAATCTTCGAATTTAAAAAATCGGACTTACGTAAGTATTTACTTCTGACCATTTCAGCCCACCAATTTTCTTCGTTGGTTAAAACTTTTCAACCTGATTTGGCTAAACAAGCATTGTTAAAATGATCAATTTGTTTGATTCCTAAACCACCCTGATTCTTTGGAGCACAAACCTTCTTCTAGGTCATTGGTTTGAGTTTAGTATTTCTCCCCCAAAAGAAATCTCTGCATTCTTTATCAATTTTAGTTGTTACCCTGTTGGGGCACTTAAAACAAGACATTACATGATTCGGCATCCCGGTGAGATTAGAACTAATAAGGGTTAGTCTCCTGGCCTTGGAAAGGTTCACCCGTTTAATTAATTCTATCTCATTAACCGTATCCTTCCAAAAAACTATATTATGGATCCTTTTTTTTTTTTTTTTTTAAAAAGCTGCGTCTTTGATTTACTATAATAACGTTTTTCATAAGAGTGAATTGTAGCAGTAATCCCTTAACTTTAACTCCTTTAATTAAAAATTCATTATCATTAGTTCATCAACTCATCAAAACGTGCAGCTATGGTCCCTCAATTAAAAATTCATTACCATTGACCCCTCAACTTTAACCCAATTGAAGAAATGGTCCCTTAACTTTAACTCAATTGTAGCAATGGTCCCTCAACTCTAACTCAATTGTAGCAATGGTCCTTTCAATATAACTCATTTTGACAAAATTTTGACGAAGTTGACGAAAATGACTATAGCTACACGTTTTGATGAGTTGATGGACCTTAATTGTAGCACTGGTCCTTCCAGGACCAATGGTAATGGATTTTTAGTTGAGGGACCATTACTCCAATTTGATTAAACTTAAGGGACTATTGCTACAATTTACTCTTTTAATAAAAGTATGTCATTAAAAAATTAAAAAAATGTCATTAAAGCCCTATTTTGTACTAGTAATTCTACGGATATGGTGCTACATTTTATTGCTTCACATATAACAAATATAAAGTGGTACATCTTATAAAGAAAAAAAAAATCACTTTTATCTATTTTACCCTCTTTTTTTTTTTTTTTTTTTTTTTTTTTTGACATTGTAAGAACCAAAATGAAGAGCAGAGAAAAATATAGAAACGCAGGGTTTCCATTTGTGACAAACCGCATTTATAACAGATGATGTGTTGCATATAATGGATGGTTGAAAAAGCAAGTTTGCATGGTTACCATTTGTGCCTCATTCAAAGTATGAACACAAAAATCTTATTAAGTCACCAAATTTAATGGATATCGTATTAGATTTTGTGTACCATCTTTTTTCTTCGATCCAGTAAATTTTTTTCCTTCTAGGTGCTACATATTATTGCTTCACAGATAACAAATAGCGTAAAGAGAAAGGAAAAAAAAAAAAAAAACCAGTTCAAGCTCTTTACAATCATTTTTCTTTTTTATGGAAAATTTATAAAACTCTAGATCCGATATAACTCATTCTTATCTTTTACGAACAACCTTCACGTCTGGGCCAATGAACTGAAGTTGACTGGAGAAAGCATATTTTTATGTACAAGAACTTTGTTACAAATGTAAAAAAAAAGAACAATTAGAAGACAAATTTCACATGCATGCATATTTAAGGAAAAGTTACGGGGGCAATGGCGTGGCAAAAGACTCTGAGTGCTTGCAGTTACAAAATCTGGCCATTTTAATTGATTTCAAATTTAAAATAAAAGGAGGGTGTGAAGAAACTCGTGTGGTTCACTTTCGTCCTTTGGCCTTGAGCGGCACTTTTATTAAGTCCACTGAAACCAAGGTTACACTTGTACACGCATGCAAACACCCGGATTGGCCAACGTTTTTTACTCAATGTCTTGCTTTGTACTACCACACAAAGTTTCAAAGTTAACTTTGTGCTTTTTACTCATTTAGCTAGGGGAATTATAAAAAGGTAATGCTACGGAAATTAAATTTTTTAAATTAAATTAACAAACTAAATGATGTGGTTGTAGATGATTGAATTATTAACTAATGTTGATTAATTAATGTACTTATTTCTTATTAGTGACACATCATTTGGTTTAAAAATTTGATCTTTTAATTACTCATTATAAAAATCACTAAAGAAATTATATATATATATATATATATTATATCCAACGGAAATTGTTATTGGCACTCCAAAAATCTATTTTACATCTCAAACTTTCTATAATTGGAAAGAAAAATACACTTATGAGGAGTGTAGAATGAGATTTTTGAAGTGCCAATAACACTTCCCTATCCAAATTCAAATAATTAAGCATGATAATGAATTATATGAGACTAAGTATGCATCGTGATAGAACAACGGCAAAAGT